AGAGGAGAATGGAGGAGAAGGGATTGCGGCGTGACCATCCCCCCTGGGGGGTGATTTCTTGCTTTCTCTCTCTATGTCTCTCTCTGTCTGTCTGGCGAGCGCACGCGCCCTACAGTGAAAATCTCTCCAAAAAAATAAAAATAAATAAAAATTAAAGGAAATCTAAAAGACATGCAATCAAGTAAAACCCAACCATAAGTGCTGACTTAATGAAACTGAACAGAGAGAGAGGGATGTGTAGTCGCCAACACAAAACAGTGAAAGGCTAATGAGCGGCCACACTATATGTGAAATGAAGTTCTCCACGTCATAGCTTTGGTTCATTCTATAAATGGTGAATAGGGAAGATGCAGGCCTCACTTTTACAGAATTTGGAGGTTAGGGGGAAAACAGGCCATTATGAAAGACGAGGGTAAAAACAGAGAAGAGCAGGCTGCTATGGGAACACTTACAAAAGGGATAACCTCTCTAATATGTGGGATGCTCCCTAGAGGAATCTGACATGAAGTTAGAAATGTCCCATTCATCACAGGAGTCTCTGGAACCCAACCCTGGTAACATGCCTAATTCCTCTCACCACAAAGTAACTCATTAGGACCATTTCCTTTACCTGTGACTTACCATCTCTCTTTTGTAATTATCACCTTGAATTTGCAATCGGCTAGCCCATGTCGTTTTTCAACATGAAGTACTGTCATTTAAAATGAAACCTCCTCTCAGTCTATTCACACAGAGGATGAAAAGAATCTATAGCCAGGCCTTTCTTTCTCACTTTAAAAGTTACCTTGTCAGTTTTAGTTCTAGCTACAGAGGCCTTTATGAATCCAATACTGTCATCCAATATATTGCTATCTCAACTTTTTACTTGATTAAAAAAAAAATCCTCTGCCTTCATCCTCAGTCACCAGTGAAGTATTGGAGAGACAGAGCGCTTTAGCTTGCTACCAAGATATTCCTCCAGACTGAAGTCAACTCATTAGTCACGTAAATGTCACTGTTCCCCGAGTGAAATTCATCTACCAGCAGTGCCCACACCTCTGCACTAGAATCAATGACTATCATGTGAATCCATCAAATGACTTGCTGAAATCCAGACACCCAGTGTCTGTGTCACTTTCTTTATCTAACATGCCCATAACTCAGCTCAAAATGAAATGAGAGGAGGTTGGTATGACCTGTTTTTTACTTTACACTTGCTGATCACTTTAACAGCCTGTTCTAAAACGGCCTAGCTTTGCACTACAAAAGAGAACTATAACACATTTTCTAATGTGGGAACCAAAATGCCTACTGCTAACTCAGGTTCTTTTTCCTGTTTGATTAGGTGAAGTTTCCGAAATCCTGATCAAAAATGGCCCCACACACATTCTCAAACAAGTGTGTCTCAAATGTCCCAATCCAGGTTTGGGATCACGTTGAACAAAAACAGACATATTGCATAGCTAGAATGCCTGGGGCCCAGCCAAGTTCTAGTGCCAATATTTACTAGCTACGTGACTACCTGGCATGATACTGCTTCCTGGTTCATTTTCAGGCAAGATCAGTTCTCCCAGGCCTGACCGAGGACCAGAACCCAGAAAACGAATGTCATTTGCGATCTTCATCAGACTGCAAGCAGTGGTGTTCATGGCCCCGCTGAGCTCAACCAGAGCGTCATGAGCAGCCAGAGCTTCAAATTTATTTGGAGCAGTGACAAAAGGCAAGCCTGAAAAACAAAAAAGAACTTATATGAGTGAAGAGGTAAGATTAAACATCTTTTTACCATCGGTACGTTAAATAGAAAGATCTAGTATATAAAAAGCAGAAAAAGAACAGAATAAGATGTTTACAGACATTTTGGGTAATTCAGGAAAAACTTTAGTGTAGACGCAGGCTTTGCCTACAGTTTGTTAAGAAGCCCTGAGGAGTGACAAGAAGTGACAATGATATAAGTATCATTATACTTAAAGGATGAAACAGTCAATATCATAAATACATGGCAAGCATAAACTGCAAACACGTATACACAATGCCTGGCTACTCTGGAGTAAAGACGAAAAGTCGGTGAAATTTACTCTGTTCTATTTCACACTCCTTTCCTGGTATATATTTTCTAAAATGTTTTTGCCCATTATAGTCTGTTTTATTCTCTCCTCTAGCCAGAGGCACAAAAAGACTCCCTGAGAAAATCAAGACCAAAAATGCTAGATGTTCTCCATCTTCCGCATGTTCAAAATTTTTAAGATATACATATTCTAAGACCTAAAATGACAGTCCTTTTTAATTAAAATTTGTTTAAAAAACCAATCAGTTAATAAGCTATCATGTGCATATAATGTGCATATAATGATCTCTACTTTAATTCTCTAATAATGGTATTTTTGTTTTCCTTTACTTGTGACAGAGTATATGCAAGTGCTTCGTTGAGAGAGAGACAAAGGGGTCTGGTCCACAGAGTCTGGTCCCTCCATAATCCCCTTCCTCGATTCCCCCTGACCATCTGGTCTTGGATACTCATGCATGTGCCCAGCGTGTTTCAGGGTGAACAGACGTAAGGCTCAATCTAATTCACCATGTGGGATCCAGCTTCCCTTGAGTAAGGCATTACTGCTGTGCCACGGAGCTGGACCAAACACTGGCAGCTTAATAAGAGTTTTCTGATTATGAAAACTTGGCTCTAATAAGTTACCATTATCAATTAAAATAATGAAAGATAGGACTCCCAAAGTCAATAATTTTTTTTTTTAAAGAAAGATTTCTGCTATAGAGTGTGCACACTCACCAGAGAGACAGACAGACAGAAAGTGAGAACTCATGCCCTGGGGGAAATGGCCATGCTACAATTCCTTTTCCTCCACTCTCCTCTCAGGATTTTGGGCACATGAGCCCAGCATGAGATTTTTTTGTTTTTTGTTTTTTTTTTTCAGAGAGGTTTATGCTATAGGGTGTGTGCGCTCACCAGAGAGACAGAGAGACAGAAAGCAAGAAATCACCCCACCAGGGGGGATGGCCATGCTGCAATCCCTTCTCCTCCATTCTCCTCTCGGGATCTTGGGCACACACGCACCCACGCCTGGCGTGAGTTTAAGCCACCGGGTCCAGGACTCAAACTGTGGTTGACTACATGGGAGTCCAGCAACATAGCCATTACACTAACTGCTGGTCCCCTTGTGCCCAGCATGAGATTTAAGTCACCAAGTCCAGGACTCATAATGCATTCAACTATGTGAGAGTCCTGCTAAGTAATCATTAAGCCATCTGCTGGTCCCTCAAAAGATCAATACTTTAAAGAAAAAAAAATTCACAGCATGACATTAAAAATATTAAGTTTGTCTACACACTTGCCACCTAATGACTTTCTCAAAAATCAGTTGTTTCTGGGACCAGTAGCTGGCATAATGGCTATGTTGCTGGACTCTCATGTAGTCAACTGTGGTTCAAGTCCCGGACCTGGTGGCTTAAACTCACGCTGGGCGACTGTGCGTGTGTACCCAAGATCTCAAGGAGAATGAAGGAGAAGGGATTGCAGTGTGGCCATTCCCCTGGGGGGGAATGATTTCTTGCTTTATGTCTCTCCGTCTCTCTGGCAAGCACATGCACCATATAACAAAAACCTCTCCTCTCCCCGTCCCAAAAATATCAGTTGTTTTTTCTGCCTACTTTGAAAACTGCCTTTCAAAATAGCTTTAAAGGCAAAATAATCAGATACCACCTGATAGTAAACAAAGTTAACACTGATAGATTTTAACCACATGTTGTAAGAACTCCTAAATAGAAAACTTAAAAAGAAAAATGATCAATATTACAATTTCTCAAACGGAGACACAATACATATTTGATATGAAAATACTATTTCTCACTTTAATTTCAAAAAAAATCAAAGCAGAAGCACCTAGAAAATATACAGATTGATATCACAAAAATGAGCAATAATTTGTGATCACGAACCTGTGAGTGCAGCGACTTTTGCAGCGACCTTTTCTGCAAAGCCAATTCTGGTGTTTAGCCCAGTCCCCACAGCAGTGCCCCCAGCTGCGAGCTCGTAGATTCTTGGCATGGCAGCTTTTATTCTTGCCATTGCATAACTCACTTGTTGAACATAACCACTAAATTCCTGAAAAGAGAAGAAAAAGAAAGTGAGAATGAATGTCCCAATACTCTAACTGTATTAAGTAGAAGCTTTCAAGATTCATTTTGGAACCCAAATTATAAGCTACTCGAGTGGTATTTATACTACTTCAACTCATAAGATGAGCAAAATATAGGGAAGGATATAAACCTATAAAGTAAGACAATGCCACTGATTAACATGCAGCCAGTTTATAATCTAGTCTTTTAAGAGAAAGCAAAGGAAAATAACACATAAAATAAACTTGTAAAAAAGAACAACTTTGGTCCAACAAGTGGCATAGTGGTAAAGGGTCTGGACCCCACATGAGTGACCTCGCAATTTGACCCCGTGGCTTGCAACTCATGCCAGGCACTTATGCATGCATGCCCAAAAGCCCAGGAGAACAGTGAAGAAAAGACTGGGGTGTGGCCATCCCCCTGGGGGGATGACTTCTCATTTTCCCTCTCTATCTCCCTCTTTGTGTTTCTATCTGACCTATAGCAAAAACTAAAATCACTGCATTACATTATTGGTTTATCTGCAATCTATTAAATAAATTGATCTCTTATTTTCTGGTGTGTCCCAGACAATAGTGAAAAAGAAAAAAAAACACTGAATCCTCTCACCAACAGTGCAAATATAGTAATATTCTCCATATAATTTGAGTTTAGAAACCCTGAAGCCACCCTGCCCAGGAGAGCTCACCTCCTTTTAGGATGAAACAGCTTTAAACTCCTTTCACTGTTCCTAGCACCGTCCACATGCATTTTTAAGGCCTTTGCTCCTAAAGTCATGGTCATCAACAAGCAGTTGGCAAATTCAAGATGGAACAGACCTGAAAGCCTCCTGATTCTAAGAGGCAAGAGATCGCCTTCTAAAAACAAAACATCCACCCACAACCAAAAAAAAAAAAAAAAAAAAAAAAAAAAAAACCTCTCCAAAAAAAGAACCCAATATGGAATTGGAATGTGAGAACATTTTATAGGGACATAAAAGCTAAATGATTCACTTAACACATCAGAAGTTAAAGGAATAGTAAGACCATAGCTTCATTATGCATTTTAATTCCCTATCAATGCCACACTGGTTCCCAAACTGTGACACACAACAAGGCAAGAAGTGCTTATGTTTTGAACACAGCAAGGGCCCTAAAAATGACACAGGGTCAAAGGAATAAAATGGGACCTCACTGAGCAAGCCAAGATCTAAAGTTACCCCATATATATCTCTTCGTCATTTTTTTGTTTTTTGCTATATAGAGCACACACACTCAACAAGGACAGACAATCACGCAATAATCCCTTCTCCCTTCTCCTCTAGGGATTTGGGCATGTGTACACACACATGCCTGGCATGATTTTAAGCCACCAGGTCCAGGACCCAAACCAAAGTCAGCCATGTGGGAATCCAGTGCCTTAACAACCATGCTACCTGCTGGCTCCTATATTATCTTTTTATTTTTAAATTTATTTTGTGTGCGTGCATGTATGTGAGAACCAATAATACAAAGAGAAATGAAACACAGCCCTAAGAGACAACTTAACCTAGTGAGTTCAATTTAGTCCCATCATTTGTATTTTAATTAATCGTTTCAAGTTTTCCTCATTCCTTCCATATTGAAATTAAGCTAAATAATCAGGCTTTCCTCAGTGTTTGCTATCATCTATATAAAAGCCCAAAATAAGAATGTAACCAAGTAGCAGCCAGACTCTCACCTTCAGCTCAATTTCTATGAAAATATTATTTGACCACTATAATTTAATATAGAACTTGGCAAATATAACCATCTCCTGATATATAATGTCCCTCCTTCTAAACAAGAACAGGAGCCTACTGAGGCAAAACCTGATCCTTGCATTTCCTTTGCAATGCATACTTTTAGATATTCTTTGTCTGCTGTCTCCAACCCCTAGACTGTGAACTGGTGCTAGTCCATGGCCTGCTGGGGGCCTACCGCCTAGAGGTGGTTTACTGGGCAGTGAAGTTGGGGGTGGGCTGCCGGTAAGGAAGCATGGCTTTGTCTATGTGGCCACTTTCTGTCACTTGCATTGCCACCTGGGCTCGACTCCTATCAGATCAGCAGCAATGCTGGAATCTCATGGGAGCACAAACCCTACTGCTGAATGATTGTTTCACTGTATACTGCAATGTGGTAGTGGTGGAAATAGGGTATATGGTAGATGTGATACACTTGGGCCATTCCAGGACTACCCCCTGCTTCCACCTGCGGAGGGACTGTCTTCCACGAAGCTGGTCCCTGGTGCCAGGTAGGTTGGGGACTGCCACAGGTATGAATAAACAAAAGTACCATCTGGTATTTTGTAGAAGACAGTAACATCTCTTTCACAAGCAGTCAAAACACTTTTAAGAAGTATGATCTTTGTTTAATCATTTTGAATTTTAAATAACCAACTAATTTAGAGTAAAAGAGACAAATGACGAAATCATGGTAATGATACTGATGAAGATAATGATGACAGCTACACAAATGCGTACTTTCAATGTGCCTGTCATGTCCCTAGGCACTGTACGTGAAATCAGCTTACTGGAACTTCACAACTTGCTATGAAAGATACTATTTTCCTCATTTTACAGCTCTGGAAACTGAGACACAGAAAGACTAAATCATTTTCCCATAGTCCCATAGCTTGTACACAACAAAGCTAAGATTTAAACCCAAGGGGTCAGGAGATGACGTGGTAGTTAAGGCACTGGACTTTTACATGGCTGACCACAGTTCAAATTCTGGACCCTGCAGCTTGGAAATCATGCCAGGCCCATGTATGTTTGTGCCCAACATCCCGAGAGGAGAATGAAGGCGAAGGGATTATGGCATGGCCATCCACTCTGGTGGGTGATGTCTCACTATTCCTCCCTTATTTCTGTCTCTCTCCAGAGTGCATTCACTCTATGGAAAAAAAAAATTCGAACCCAAGCAGTCTGATTCCAAATATGGCTCTGCTCTTCTACTAAGAGGTTGTCAGTGGCAACTACTGATTGGATGACAAAGAACAATCTCTGACACTGAACTTAATGGTTACAAATCTGACCTTTCAAACTGGTGCAATTTCAAGGGTGATTCACTGATCATTTGTCACAATTCCTAAATTAAATAAAATTCACAAAACTCATACCTGCCCAAGAGTAAGTGGAACAGCATCCTGAGTATGGGTACGCCCAATTTTGATGATCTGTGCAAATTCTTTGGATTTTGCTTCAAGAGCATCGTGTAGCTTCTGTAGTCCTGGTAACAGCACCTTATGAACTTCTATTGCAGCAGCAATGTGCATTGCTGTGGGAAAAGTGTCATTTGAGCTCTGTTGGAAATTTTCAGAGGAGATATAATATGTTAAATCAGAGATAACAAAAAACGAACTTGATGTCTCAATTAAAAAGCTCACCAAATTACTACCAGAAACTCAGTGTATATAGTACTGAGTTCTATTAATATGTGGCAAGTTACAGGTCATTTAGGATCAAATAAGGAGCAACCTGGCTTCCTAGAGGGGGCACACTCAGGACAAGGTTATATACATATCATACAAAGGGTCTTCAAAAAATTTACAGGAAATAAACTCATATTTTAATTGCATTTTTGCCATGAATTTTTTGAAGTTCCTTTGCGTACTGTAAACTTAATACACATTAGCTCTGCTTGCTAATGATAGCTCAATGGAGTACAGTTAACAACTACGTTTAAAGATAGTAATAACAGTGACCAGCAGTTAGCATAATAGCAATGTTGCTAGACTCCCATGTAGTCAACCGTGGTTTGCGTCCCGGACCTGGTGGCTTAAAAATCACGCCAGGCGCGTGTGCGTGCTTGCCCAAGATCCCGAGAGGAGAATGAAGTAGAAGGGATTGCAGCGTGACCATCCCCTCTGGGAGGTGATTCCTCATTTTCTGTCTCTCTGTCTGGCGAACGCATGCGCCCTATAGCGAAAACCTCTCCAAAAAAAAAAAAAGATAGTAGTAATTAGTAATAATAAAATATCATAACGATACAATGCACACAATTTTCTGTAAATATTTCTTGCTTTATTAAACCCTTAGAAAATTCTGGCAGCATTTTAAAAATAGGAATGTTAAGCTCTTATAGAGATTACGTGACTTGCCAAAATATTTCGGAACTGGCAAAACTGAGACCTATGCAGCCAGGTACATTTACGCTCCCTTCTCGGGTGATGACCCCGTACTTTTAACGTACGATGTGATTTAAAAAGACACATTCATTATTAGTATAGTTAACTGTTTATTATGGAAAGTATCAAACCACTGACAAAAATGCAGATGGACATGCATGTACCTATCACCTAAATTCAAATAATTATCAACATGTAGCCAATCTTGTTTCATCTGTAACTCTATCAGACTCCCCTATTCTAACACACACACACACACAGAGGATTATTCTGAAGCAAATTCAGATTTCAGTATATGTAAAAGATTAAAGTCATATTTAAACTCAAGTTTGAGATTGAAAATACTTCATATAATGAACATCTCTGAAAAAATGTCCCCCTTAGCATTTAAAAATATATTTAACTATATCTAGTACCCAGAGATCTTGGTTTCTAAATATCACTTTCCAATGAGATTCTCCAAGAATTCCTTGAAAAATGGCTGCTTCTAGGGGAGAGGCAGGGAAAACACTAGATACGATTGGAGCATCTTACAGAGCTAGAAAGTAAGGATGTGCTTAAAAAAGAAAAGAAAAGAAAAGAAAAAGAAAGAAAGAAGGAAAAGGATGCTGTCATGTCTTAAGGACATAAGCACCATCTGCACAGGGATTCTCAGAGCTGAAATAATTTGAGCAATAATACAAATAACAAGGTGTCTAATTATAACCCAAAGAATAAAATAAGGATTTGATACATGTAAAGGACTGAGTAAATAAATAGGGAAGGGAAGACAAATCCTCCTTAAGAAAAATTTCTAAATTTCTGCATTTAAAGATAGTAAGAAGAAAATAACTTAAAATTATATAATGCATACAATCTTTTATAAACATTTCTTGCTTTATTAAAGAAAATTCTAGCATCATTTTACATAATAATTATAAAATATTTTTAAAATTAAAAATATTCATTTAGCTATTTTAAGCAAATAAATATAGGAATAAGAAAAACTGAAAATCATTTTTAAGGCACTGTAGTAGTAATTGCTATAAACAAGATCCATTGATGAATGTTGAAACTGTGGGTAGAAGTTTGAGAGGCCCAGAGACAGTGGGGCGTGCTTCTAAGATCCTGTACTCCACAGGGGGATCACATGGGAGTCCCATGTTTAATTCCTAGTTCTACCTGCAATAAAAGGCTGAACATTGTACCATGTGCTTATCAGCCCAGTGACTCAGGGAGGCTGAGGCAGGAGGAGCATGAGTTTGAGGCTGGACTGGGCAATACAGTAAAACAATGACTAAAAAAAAGAGCTGGGTCCAATGATACATGCCTGTTGTCCCAGGTAGGAGGCTTAGGCAAAAGGCTCACAACATGGTAAGATCCTATCTTAATATTAAAAAAAAAAATTGGAGAAAGAAGATATTTATTTGCATGTCTTCAAAGTATCACTACTAATTATGCTAATGATTTTTAAATGTCCAAAAATTGTGGGTGATTCTTTCCTTGTAGGAACTGAAACTCATATGGTACCTAGAATGTAAGAATGACTTTAGTGACAAATTTCTAACAAATAGGGTATGGAAAAGGAAAAACTGTAATTTTGCAACAGAGAGAGTTGGTAAACATCACCTTAACCAATGACCAAGGTAGATGTCACCACTAATAAGTCATATTACTCTCACATATTCCCTCATACAATGCAAAGAAACTGGTCTTTCACTTCTGTAGCAGACTTTCCAAACAGTCAGTCTGAATCTAATGATGAGAAAACATCAGACACAACAAAATTGAAGGATATTCTGCAAAATATCAGTCCACTACTTCCAAAGAGTCAAGGTTACTATTGTGGTCTGAATGACTGTGTCTCCTAAAATTCTCATGTTGAAATTAACTCCAATGTAATAGTGTTAGGAGGCAGGACCTTTTTTTCTTTTCTTTTTCGAGAGGTTTTTGCTATAGGGCGCGTGCACTTGACAGAAAGACAGAGAGAGACAGAGAGAGAAAGCGAGAAATCACCCACCGGGGGGATGGCCATGCTGCAATCCCTTCTCCATTCTCTTCTCGGGATATTGGGCATGTATGCACACGTGCCCGTCATGAGTTAAAGCCACTGGGTCTGGGACTTGAACCACAGTTGACTACATGGGAATCCAACAACATAGCCATTACGCCAACTGCTGGTCCCGAGGTAGGACCTTTGTAAAGTGATTCAGATCATGGGGGTAGAACCCTCATGAAAGAGATTAGTACCTTCAGTGAACTGCTTTGCCCCTTCTACCATGTGAGAATACAATAGAAAGATAGTTGTCTATGAACTAGGAAAATAGCTCTCATCACACACTGAATTGGCCAGTGTCTTGATCTTGGAGACTTCTCAGCCTCCAGAACTGTGGAAAATAAATTTCTGTTGTTTACAAGCTACCCAGTCTATGGTCTTTTGTTATAGTGACCCAAAGAAATCGAGATAATCACAAAAACAATCTGTCAAACAATCTGTCACAGATTAGAATAGACTGAAGGAACATGTGACAAAATGGAGTATATAGCTTAGACTAGATCCTAGATAAGAAAAAGGACATTAGAGGAAAAACTGGGAAATCCTAAAAAAGTCTGATTTTTAGTTAAGAGTACCGTATCAATTTAACTTCTTACTTTTGATAAATGTACCTTGGTTATGTTAGACATTAACATTAAAGGTAGCTGAGTAAAGGGAATACAGGAACTCTTGCAACTACCTTTGCAATTTTTTTTTAGAATAAAATTATTTTGAGTTAAAAAGTTTCTTAAAATAAATCAAACAATATGCACGTATACTAAATTCAGGTACCTTAAAAGCGACTTTTATAAACTATAAGACATAAAACTAAGATTCCTAAAAGAAATAAGAAGAGTAGAATCCTTTCCATGAAAAAATATAAACCTAATGAATTCTGCTGGTCAAAAAAGCAAATGCTTGTTTTACAAGAAAAATCTCAGGAATGTTTTCAATTTATAACAAATAAGGAGAAAAGAGAGATCACATACTAACCTGGCTTTTATTAACATGATCATTGGGATGCACAGGTTTCTTGCTGCCAAGCTCACCTCCTAACATTTCAATTGCTCTGTTGCTAATGACTTCATTTACGTTCATATTTGTCTGGGTTCCTGATCCAGTCTGCCACACCACGAGAGGAAAATGATCATTTAATTTACCTTCAGCTACCTGCAGAAAAAATGTTGAAAGTGAATATTTTAAAGATAAAAAATATTCATTTAGCTATTTTAAGCGACCACGATTAAGTAAGCTCCTCTGATAGGTTTCCATGTGCTGAGCGACGTGACAATGGTGCCAGAGTTGGGATACAGTTGTCCCACAAATCTAGGTTTCTGTAGGAACTTGTGCCAATCAAGTGAATACTTTAAAAAGTGAAATATTATCTATGCTGAATGGTATGACAATTCATTGGTTTCAAATAAAAATAGAATCAAAGCCATCTTTAGTAATTTTTTCCTCCTCTGCTAACAGAAGACCACCTGTTAAACTGGTAAGTATGTTGTTTTTAGATACATTTACCCTTGGTGCTCAGCGGGAATATCCAACAGATGTTACCCCCAGAGCCAGCAAGATATAATGAATTAGTAACTTGAAAATGTGAGTTTACACTTCATCCCACAGATGTCCAGTAAGTAACAACTGCTAAATACAGAAACAACACTGCCCAGATTTGCCCCTATTTTTGTCAATTTTTAATAGCTTTAGCCTATGTTAGCTTATAGGTTATAAACTTTCCGAAAGAATAGGTGTATAACTTCATCTTCTGGAATAACTGTAGCTTAAAAAAATCAGAATGTAAGAAAAATTTGTTACTTTGAACATTTAGTTTGCTTTAAAACGTTTTTTCTAGTTGTATAAAAATAATGGGTGATCAGTATAGAAAATTTTCAGAATTGAGAAAATATAAATCACTACAGCTCCACTGCTCACAAATAATGACCATTAACATGTTAATATCTCCTTCCAATCCCTATTACATGCAACGGGTGTGCTTACATGTGTGTAATATATATGTGGTATGTGTATATATACATATATCTATGTGAAAACTTAATAGAAAATACATACATTTTTACAATCCTTTGATCTATTTATCCACTAGTCTTCTATGCTAATCTTTCAAAAACAAATTTTCTGATTCCCAAATGGCTATAACTCAAGCAACTGTTACAGTTAGATGTTATATTTATTCTATTATTATAAACGGTACTATAATGAGCAATACTATGTACACGGTTTCAAATTTTTGTCTCTACTGCTTCCTTGAGACAATATGAATTAGTGAAGTTGCATTCTTGATACACGTTATCAAAAAATCAATTACTTTCAAAAAGAATCTTTTGTACATAAACTAAGAAATCCAAAATAAAATTTGAAGTGTGTTTTCAAAATTTTTTCTTAACACTATACAAACTTATGAAGAAACTGAAGAGGCTTAAATGAAAATGGTCAGTATCAGTAGATGGTGTACTGGTTACATCGCTGGACTTCCATATAGTCAAACATGGTTTGAGTCTCAGATTGAGCGGCTTAAAATACATGCCAGGTGCATGTGCATGCGTGCCCAAAATCCCGAGAGGAGAACAGAGGAGAAGGGATTGCTACGGGCCATCCCCTATTGGGGGTGGAGGGGGATTTCTTGCTTTCTGTCTGTTTTTCTCTTTTCTCTCCAGCAAGTGCACAATGCCTTAGAGCAAAAACCTCTCTACAAGAGGAAAGAAAAAAAAAGTAAACAGCACATAATCATTCATACATTTTTGTCACAATGTATTTTAAGCACTGTATTAATATTCTCATTAAATAATGCTGTTGTTATTCTATCATGAAATTCACTAATTCAAGAATTTGCAGAGCCCCTTCCCTCCTTTTAGAGTTTTTAAAAATTATTATTTATTTAATTTTATTTATTATTATCTTGTGTGCTAGGGCACACATGCATTCACACCAGAGAGAGGCAGACAGAGAGAGAAAGAAAGAAGTAAAGTAAGAAAGCAAGCCTCCAGGTCTGGGACTTGAACTGTGGTCCATCATGTGGAAGTCCAGAGCCATTACTACCATGCCATCTGCTGGCCCTTCTTCCAGAGCTTATATCTTCAAGTGGATGACATGTGTTTGATACTATTAATTAAACATTCTCATCACCTCCTACCTCATCTGCTGCCTTCATTATTGCATTAGCAATCTTTGAATCAAGACCATAATCCTGGTTTACTTCAGCAGCCGCTCGCTTCAAGATGCCAAAAGCTTTAATAATTGGGATCTAAAATTAATCAGAAAAATATCTCAAATTCGCAATTTCAGTTAAGCATGAAAGTATTTTATGTAGATGCAAAAACTGTAAAATAATAAGGAACATTATAACCTAAAATTTTCAAGATAGAGAATAAGAAACAGACAGACATATGATGAACCAAGAATCACTATTATCATCTATCTGTTTATTAAGGAAATCAAACAAAAACAAATAGTCATGATTTGCACAATGAAGTTCTCGTTAACAATGAACAATACATACGACAGTGGTCCAGTGGTCCAGAAGACACATATGAGGTATACTACACAGCCTAGAGTGCAGTAGGCTATACTGCTCATGTATACTCTGTGATGTTCACACTGGCAGAATCTCCTAACATATCTCTCAGAGTGTATAGCGCATTCAGCAACACAGACTGTACACTGCCCCCTATTCTAGGCTTCTGGGAAAGTCATGACATATTTTTCTATGTTCTTCTATGTACCATGACTTTCCCAACAACCCAATATATGTGCCTATGACTCACACATTCATATATGTACTCACACATATTCACATACTCTATCCTATATATATATATATGATATATACATGTATATATACATACTATAAAGTTGACATGTTATTTCATACACTACACATAAAAATAAATGGTACTCAATCATTTCACCAGTACAAGCCACTATTTTCTCTCATTAGATGCCATATTGCATAATTTTTTCCTTCTTCTCTTTAAAAGAAAAAAAAAAATCAGTAACGTATTTCACCGCCCATCAGTATGAAATAAACCATTACTGATTAGGTATCATTTAGTCACAAGGACAAAAAACAATATATTCTAGTTAGTGAATCTCTGACACTTAGTAAATTACTGGAAATTTCTCTCAGAATTTTTTTTAAACCCACAGTTCTCCAGGCCTAAAGTTGATAGCTGCAGATATATTGCAGATTATTCCATTTTTTTTTTTAACTTTCAATGATGAGCGAGCATGTGTAAGTATACACACCTGAGAGAAAAAGAGAACATGTGCGTAAGACAGAGGGGGTGGGGCAGGGAGAGACCGCAGGGTCCGGCCATGCCACGATTCCCCCAGTCCTCAGCCCAGTGGATCCCGGGCACTAGCATGCTTGTCTGGTGTGTCTCAGGTTGACAAGGCCAAAGATTCAAACTGCATTCACCATGAGGGACCTGGCTTTTCCTGAGCAGCGCATTTACTGCTGGACCACAGACCTTACCTGATCTGTTCATTTTCTACCCCAAATCACCTCACTAAATAGTAAAAGGATAAGTTGAACATCTTTTGATAAGATTTCAATGAAGTAACCTGGTTTCTATAAGACAAGTGAATTATGACTTCTGGTCAAAACTAATAATAGAGAATGTAGTATGTATTAGGTCGTCAGGAAAGTCGAGACGCGTTTTTCTATGCGAAGCCTGGGTCGTGACTTTCCTGACAACCTACCCATATCAAGTTTGTATGGGCAAAAAGCCAAAGAAAAAAAGGGAAGTGAGGAAGAAAGAGATGAAAGAGAAACTACGGTCCTCAGAGGGGAATCAAAGTGGAAAAAAACAAAGAAAAACAAAAAGACATTAAACACATAAACCTGAACCACAGTGAGTGAAAGCTGAGGAGCAAAGCGAAAAGGAAAGCCAGAACATTTTTATTTTGAATTTTAACTGGCTAAAATGAAAACATTATTAATGGTTTCTTTTTAAGAGAATTATTTCTTTTTATTTAATTCCATTTGTTATTATTATTTTTTAATTTGAGAAAGCAAGCTGCCAGGTCTGGGACTTGAACTGCGATTGGCCATGTGGGAATCTAGCGCTTTTAACCACCACATCACCTGCTGGCTCCCATTATAAATGTTTTACTCAAACAAATAGAGAGAAATGGTACACAAGATTGAAAAGGCTTTAAAAACACTAGATGTGAAAACAAGTGGGAATGTAAGTTTCTGCAGGGTCAGCCCACTGCAGCACCACAGTCATAACCAAATGCCAGTGAACACCAGCCATCTGAACAGAGGGACTGACCCAGTGCTGGTGGGTCCATTAAAATGAAAGGGTCACAGCAGAGAGTTTCACTGAACACCATTAAAATAAAATGTCAACGCTAATTCCTGGGGGTGACAATAAGGGTCAATTATTCCTAATACTCACATTAGAAGTTCATAATCTTTTTGCTTTTGTTTTCCTTTTGGTCGCAGGTACAAATAGGTTATACTATTCAGTTCAGAGTCTGTGTTATATTTAATAAAGTTCAGGAATTTCACTCAGATGAAGCCAAATGTGACAAAACTATTACCTCATGAATTTACCTTCCACAGACGTATATTCCAAATAGCTGCCCTGCCTATGGAGTGGAAGCGGCAACCACATACCCGAGGACCAGGTAACTTGCTGGCTGAAGCAGGACAATCAAAACATGAGCCATGCTCACTTCCACCAATACCAGCTGGGGCTGACCTCCTCAGTTTCAGAAATCGAATCATGTGAGGGTATTTTAGGACTGGCCACTATCCTTCACCCCCCAAATGTGTAGTCAGAAGCAATGTTTATCTCACCATCAAGTAAGCTGTGCGTGAGAGGTAATGACAAAGAGATTTTCTTCAAAGATTTAGCTGTCTGTTGTCAAATTCTGTAAATCTATCAAGATTCAGTCTTGAAGGCTCTGACTTAAAATATGAAAGTTAAAAACATTTAGGATAAAAATTACACTTAGAAGATAACTGTTAAACAATCTCTCACTCAGTGAAGTCTGGTTACTTCTAGACTTACTAGCCTGTCCTTCAGTCACTATTTTCATTTCCCAGTTGGGCTCCAGAAAGATATCTAATGTATTTCATCAATTCTTTTCACACTTGAGCATCTCTGAAATCAAGTTGCATCTTATAATCAATGACCTGTCACAACTTTAATTGGCAGTCTTTCTCTTTCTTAGCATTGCATATTGATGCATCTTCTAATTGATAGCATCTCTGATTTAATGAAACGGGGTCGGAAGTTTTTTAATCATTAAATCGTTCGTGTGGCATTGAACAAATTCTTATATGTTGATTATATGCCAGAAGTGGTAAAGAAATATACTTTGATGTGAACTGTACACTTTTCTGGAAACTAAAACCAAAGCAGAAAGCATAATATTAAAGGAAAATCTGGGGTCCAGTGGGTGGTGTGGTTGTTGGGACATCAGACTCCCACATGGCTAACCACAGTTTGAGTTCCGGACCTGGCAGCTTGAGAATCACACGGGGCACATGTTTGTGTATGCTCCGGATCCTGAGGGGAGATAGGAGGGAAGGGGACTACGGTGTGACCATCCCCCCTGGGCAGGGTGGGTCGGGTGATTTCTCATTTTTCCCTCTGTCTCTCTCTGGTGAGAGCACATACCCAGTGGGAAAAACTTGAAAAATGAAAAAAGAAAAACCTGGGGGCCAGAAGGTGGTACAGTGTTCAAGGCACTGGACTTCCACATAACCAACCCCAGTTCAAGTCCCAGACCTGGTGGCTTGAAAATCATGCTGCACAACTGTGTACATGCCTAAAATCCCAAGAGAAGAATGGAGAAGGGACGTGGCATGGTAATCCCGCCCCCAGGGGGGGTGATTTCTCACTTTCCGTCTCTCTGTCTCTAGTAAGTACATGTGCCCTACAGCAAAAAACCTAAAAAAAAGAAACAAAAAGAATAATCTGAGTTTTAAGTTAAAAAAAGGGATTTGAATATTGAAATTCAAAATGTTCACAAACTATAAAATCTTATCAAAATCTGTAAATGCTCTATCCAGCAAGAATGAAAAGTCAGTTAGTTCTATTAAATAAAAATCTGAAATTATCAAAGACATGGGTCAAAGTAACAGAATGCTAAAAGTTCTTCCAGAGCTGGCCCATAGCCTAGTGGGTAAGAGCGCTGAATCCCACATGGCCCATTCCTATCAGCTCAGGAAGCCAGAAAAACACACTGGGTGCAAGTGCATGCATGTCCACAATCCTGACAGCACGGAGAAATGAAGGAATTGCAGCACGACCACATCCCATCCCATTGAGGGGAAATTTCTCCTTTTGTCTCTGTGAGCACATGTGGCCTGTGGCAATTAAAGACAAAACAAAGAAAAGAACATTGTACTACTTGGAAAGCTAGTTCTCTAATAATTTTACATTTTAACTGTATAAAATATTTACCTATAAAATAAAGTAACTCATTGAATATAGCCCAGTTCATCCAAAATAAGACATCACTTCCCACACTAGCCACTTACTGGCATGCGCTCTGTGGCACCTCCAATCTTAAAGTTCATTGTAGATCTCACGGTCTGGGCACCATAGTACTTATCGTTTGGGACCTTCAGTTCACCAAAGGTATCATACTCTATCCGGAAGGCATTTTGGCTGGCCTAAATACAAGATAAAACACTGTTACAGCTTGGGGAAAAAAAAACAAATATCAAAAGCAGTAACATCAGCTGTAAAGGCAGCAAAACTTTAATGTAACATAAAGACAAAAAATTTTATTTGATCCTCATTCTACTTTAGTTCTTTTCTTGAGACACTGTTTTCCCACACGTGTATTAGTGCATATGCTAAAGATAGACTGTAGTATTCATACCCTATGCAGACAATAAATACAAAGAAGTCTCTGAAGTACAAATAGTAATCATTTCCTATTCAAGAGTATGCATAATACTGGTTAAGATTTGGCCAATTCAATCTACTTAGGTTAATGTCTATTTTATGGAGAGCTTTTGAAAATCGTCTAAAAATGATGCTTTGAAATTTGTAAATGTATTTAAACAAACTTAGCTACGGTGTACAAACACTATGACTGACAGGCAGCATAGTACTATAAAACACTTATGGTGCGCAGTTGGACAACTGACCACTGCTAACGCCACCTTCCATTACAGAATACAAGTCAGTCTTTCTTGGCTCTAAAGGAAAGATGCAGATGGCATAGGTCAAGTCTTAGACTTTTCAGGGTATAGACCCTTTGAGAATCTAAGGAAAGCGAAGAATCCTCTCTCTAGAAAAATGAACGCAACCACGTATAACTTTACACCAATAACATTAGCTATCCAATTACCAATAACATTAGCAATGACAGCAGTGACAATACTAACTTCTTCATCACCTTGCTATGCGCATGGGCACAAAACCTGCAACAAAAATTTCATTAAACAATATGAGGGGCTTTTCAAAAAGTTCTCAGAAATTGCACATTATGAAAATACTATGCATGGATTTCAAAACTACTTGCACCAGAATAAGCTTATTATACCTGGATTCCATTTTCCATAAATTTTCTGCAGTACCTGCATATATGTCATGCATTCAAATCTTTCTATGTTGTTCTAATCTGTTAAAAAAAAAAATCAATAATGCTGGTCACTACCTCCTACACTGATTTCACCATCCATTAATGAGTCCATCTCAGGTTTGAAAAATACTTGTGTGGTTTTCAATACCTTCCCATATTATCATATGAATGTCTTCACAGTAGCTTGTAAAAAAAAGGAGGCAGGCTTACCTAAGTCAGTGAAAAAATTATCAGTGATTTTGATGAAAAAATAAACTGATGGATGGTATCTCTTAACTAGAAGTTTTAAATTCACATAACATGATCTATTATAATAAAAAGCTAGTCTTTTTGAAAACTGTATCTTCATATTCCATAATTCAGAGAGCAGAATTTTAGGGAAAAGAACATTGTCACTTCATGGTTTAATGTGTCCAGTATCCATTACGGTATGACTGCTATAGGTTCTAGAAATACTAAGTTCTGTTACCAGCTGCTAAACTCAGAAATCTCAGGAATTAATTAATTTTAATTAATTTTCAAAATTTGCAGACTAGTCAAAACTAGAAAGATCAACCAGAAAATACAGACCTTGGGCCTGTTACATGTCCCCATCAAATGCATGGACAAGATAACTATTAACATTTAAACAAATCATGGCATTTCCTAAAAGAAAGGTAAAACATTGGAACCAGCAGATAGCATAATGGTTATGTCACTGGACTCCCATGCAGTTGACGACGATTTGAGTGGTGGACCCTGTAGCTTGAAACTCATTTCAGGTGCATATGTGTGGGTGTACCGGAAATCCCAAGAGAAAAATGGAGAAGGGATTGTGGTGTGGCCATCCTCCTGGAGGGTAATTTCTCACTTTCTGTCTCTCTGTCTTTCCATGGAGTGCATACGTCCTACAACAAAAACTCTATTAAAAAAAAAGTTCCTCAAATTCTCAGTCTAAAGTGGTTTAAAAGAATATTGCAGTATTCAAGAAAATCCAAATCATTTCTCATGTTAGAAGACTTATCTCAAGATAAAACTCAACATCCGACTTCATTGCGTATTGTGTTCTTTCGGAAAAAAAAAAAAAAAAAAGTCTGCCTGGTCCTAAAACACAGGATATACATCAAGTCTCTTCATTAATGTAGGGATTCCCTATCACCATGATAGCCAGGTCCTATTACAGATGTTCTCCTTGTTAAACAGTCTCATTCTCCATGTACTTTTTCTGTTCTGTAGTATTTATCACATTGTAGTCATTCATTGTGTGGTTTCTTTGCTTAAAATTTAACAGCTTTAATCTCTCCCAATAGTCACCGAACTTTATTCACAGGGCTTGATACAGGTAAGACATTCAGTAAATATGCTGTCTTTCTATTGAATAATCTTTTATGCCTTCTTTTAAATAAAACGTAATTTATGGACTTCAGGCTTGTGTGAATTTCTCAACATTAGCAACAAAAAGAACTTTTTAACAAATCAACAGAGATTTTGGAGCTGAGAGAGGCTACAGGGCAAAATATGTGTTCAGTATTATGAAAAAAAAAAAAAATCTACCCTCATCTGATTTTAGCTAACGTCTCAACCTTAAGAGGTAATGTTTCACATTTGACTCAACAAAACAGACTCACAAGTTCTCCGGTCTTCTGTTTGTTGTTACAAGACACTAAAAAGACGCTAAATGAGAAAAAAAAAGATATATATATATATACGCACACATATATATATAAAACTGAAGGTACTAAAATTAGTAGGGCAGGAAACCCCAGGAATATAAAGCATCCTGGATTTTGTAGTTTCAGGTATAATGATACCATCCAATTACCTTGAAATTCATGAAAAAGTTCGTGGACAATACACATTATGAGAAAACTATGAATGGATTTCCGGGGTTTTTTTGCACCAAAATAAATACACTATAATTCCATACTTCACAAACTTGTGAATCTTCTTCATCTAGCCCAGAAAATGTCATGATATTTTGAAATACCCTACATGGGACACTTATTTAATGAACACTCACTACTAGATTTTCACATGTACATTCTTGCTGAGTAGCTGTAATTATTTTTAATTTTACATGCAGAAACTGAGGCACAAAGACAACTTGCCCGAAGTCTAGACTCACTCCAAATAGCAGGGTAGGATTGAAAATCACGTCCCTGAAACTGCAAACCTCATGCTACACTGCAGGGAATAGTGCAAAGAGTAACTCTTCCTAACTACCATAATTTCTCAAACTTATCCTAACAATATACATGTGTATTTAATGCTTTAAAAGTCTGCATTAGGGAAGGTAAAACTAAAGAGCAAGAGGGTGTGTTTTAAGTAAGCACGTCAAAACTTGAACCTTTAACTTCCTGAGCTATCTTTCTGAATAAAAATGACAGATGCAGCTATAGTTAGGGTCTATCCAATCTCCTGAACCTGTCTCTGAATATTATGTCCATGTTTATGAAGTTCAGGGGGTTACAAAAATTGTGGGGGAAAATCTATATTCAGCCTAATAATCTAAATATGCAATTTCATGACAAGTAAAACCATTAATTTTCTAAGAACCTTCTACCTCAACTAGGGGCCGGAAAGCAGTCCACTGCGCCATGAGAACCGTAAAACCAAGTTCGGAGACTTGGCGACCACCGTGGGGACAGTAGCACCCTACTACGGGGCCGGGCAGGGGCAGAAGCTGCCCCGCTTCCCACACTCTCCCCCACTGGGGACGCTGACCCTGAAGACAATGCCCCAGGGCTGGGGGACTCGGAACCCGCAGAAGCGAAGCAGTGAGCGAGCCAAACGCGGGTTACACCCCACCCCACCCCCCGACGCCCCATAGATTCCGGGAGGGGCCAGATAGGTCCAGCAGGTCCCTCATCATCCGCTCCCCAAGAGCCCCCCTACCCAGGGCTGAGGCTCAACCTCCGCGGTGCAGGAGGCCCCCAGCCGGGAGACCAGCCACGTCGGCGCCGGCTCAAAGCCCAGTGCGGCTCGGCCGGGACGCCCGGGCCCCCCCGCCGGCCCACGGGTGCCCGCGCCGGCCAGCAGGAAGGCTGAAGGTCACCGAGGGGAGGCCGGGCAACAGGCGGCCTGCGCTCACCATGCGAGCGGCGTTCGGGAGCCGGAGCTGGAGAATGGGCACGCCGGCCAGGCAGGGAGCGGAGGCCGAGGCGGGAGCTCGCAGAAGGCGACGCGAGCGCGCGAGGAGTCGGAGTGCTCGGTACATGGTGGTGCGGCAGGATGGGTAGAATTTGGGGCAGGCTATGGCCACGCCTCCACGCCGACTGTCAGCAGCCGTCTCGCCCGCCGGGCCTCCCCTCTTATCCAATCAGCTCCCTCATACAGAGCGAGTGGGGCGGGACCAGTCGTAAATGACCAGTAAGGAGCGAGAGGGGCGGGCTACAGTTCTCGAAGCGAGAGTTTGACGCTCTCGGAGACCGGAGAAACTACTGAGAAGGGAATCATGGGAAAGGAAATTCCGATTTTTCTTTCAGCCGGTTGGTTGTGTGTGGCTCGTAAAAGGCGGGCGTGTTAGCTGGAAGTCGGCGTTCTGTTCTGTTGGTGAAATATCCAGAAGGAAGTTTTTATTTATTCTCTATTTAATATCATGTACTGTAATCACGCACTACATGTCTTTTATTTTGGAATTCTTTTGATGTCTTCTCGATCACATCTTATGTGTAGAAAATTTCAAAAGCGCAAAATACAGAGAATAAAATAACAATTCATAATCCCATCACTCAGAGACAGAATTATCATTCACTTCTTTTTAAAGTAATTATTTTATTTTATTCATTGTCATTATTTTATTTTTTTGAAGTTGATCAGAGAGAAAGAAGGAAAGTGAGAAAGCAAGCTGCCAGGTCCAGGATTCAAACCACTGTCAGACATTTGGGAGTCCAGCGGCCCAAACCACCACCTTACCTGCTGGCCCCTCGCTTATTTCTTTTAACTTACCATTTTTATGTCTCTGCAATTCCTCTGCTTAACGTGTATTCTCAAAACCTTTTTTAAAGTGTAGTGTGGAAAATACCCACATCTACAGGTGATCTCAGACTTTTTATTGTATTCTAAATACTTCAAGAATCTAAGTATGTGGTTCTTAAAGTTTTTTTGTGTATAATTTGAAGGTTCTTGAAGTTTTGTGTTTACATTAATATATACATTTTCAAATTAAGAAAGACATATTGTTTTAATATAATAGACTGACAGGAAAGCAGAAACTGATACGAAACTGTGTTTGAACCACAATTTTACCTCTTCTTTTCTCTTTTCTATTGCTTGGAACAAGAGAACAGTTAATTGAAAGAGAAATTGGATGATGTCTAGAAAACAAAAATCTAGAGTATGCAAAGCAAGCTTCTAAGAGTCAGTGCCTCTATCAAACTTCTTGGTATCATAGTCCATGTTACTTTGTGATTTATGAATTTGAATAGTATTTTTCAGTATAAACATTTTAATGAGAGACCATAGTAGTTGAACCTCAATCAGAAAAACCATGCAATTTTTTTATAGACTAGTTTTTTCTCCTCCTGTCAAATGATGCTTCAGAAATTACTAAAATGCTTAATGAAAAACGAAACCAAAAATTATGTAGAAGTTAGAAGGTCAGAATAAAAGAAAACTCAGAATCAAAAGATAAAGCATTACTTTGGGAGCCAGCAGTTAGCGTAATGGCTATGTCGCTGGACTCCCACGTAGTCGA